GGGGTATGTGTATCATCCGGCATTTGTGTTTCGGGCAATGCTTCCGTATTCAGCAGTGAGTGCTCTTTGCTGTTTGCCGAACTTCCATAAATTACCATATCGCTGTCAAATTCGGAATGGAGGCCACAGAAGCGATCACGCAGAATCGCAAGCAATTCTAGCATGGCTCCAGTGAGAGGAACGGTTAAAGACACTGGCATGGGTTTCGCAAGTCCGCCACCAGTTCCCATTGAAACTTGCCGCTGCCATGTCGAATATGTCTGCAAATACTGCTTTATTTGCTTGAACCGATTCTGCAGATGTAGTGGTTCGCGAACAATTCCCTGAAAGAAAAAATATTTAACACCATTTAAAATATTTTGAATAATGAAAAAATAACAACCGTAGAAGCGCGCTCGGCGTTCAATATATTCGCGATTTTCCGATACTCCTGGGCCCGTTGCTCTGGCGTGCAACCGTTTGTCGCCTGATTTAAAATGCCATCGCGACCGACATCAACAAGTGCGCGCACAAAGCGCAACGTCTCCTCCGCCGACCAATTCGCAGATCTCCGTGCTCGAGGAACTCGCGACTTTTTCTTGTCTTTTTCTTTATTTTCGTTCATAGCACACAAAATCGCAAATTAAAATTGTTAACAAAACCACAACACAAAAATAATTAAGCAATTTATTCAAAAATTTTATAATATTTTGACACTCCGAATGTCAATTCCTCTCTTCGGAAAATCTATTGGAATAAATATTTATTCCTCTGCCGGAAAGTTATTCGCCGCTATTCCATAGTGAATAATTGACAAAAAAGTTATTCCGCCGTCGCTCAGAATTGCCCAGAATAACTAAACCGTTGAATACGAAGGAATAACGACAAGTCAATAATATGGCCGTTACACTTTTGTTTTTGTAGTACGGCATAAATGAGTAGTTTGACTATTAGTACTGAGGACTTTCTGATGACAACATTGAGGGGAAAGTACTCAATTTTTACCCATGGCCTGAACGAAAATGAGGACTTTGATAAGCACTTTTGTGATTAGGGATAATGATAATATGAGTACTCATATGATACTCAGCTGTCTTGTAGGGATTAGAGCATAGATGGGCACACCAATACAGTCTCATTTTGTCATGGTATTCGTGAATCGCGCTGAGTAACAGTTGCCACTTTTCTATATTGTACAAAAGTGCGTCGTTTTTTGCGCGTGTTAGAAAACGCTCTTACAAATTTATATTTAATTTGTATTATGAACATGAAACGAAAATAATAAAATATAATAAAAAAATAATGAAGAAATAATTTCAAATAATGAATTATGAAATTAATTTTTATAAGTACATATGTACGCGCATGAAAAGTTTTTTTAATTTAATTTCATTAAACTAATGTTTTAAAAAATGATAGTTTATTCAACAACAAAATTCACGAATTTAAAATTTCTAAACTTTGTAAAAAACTCAGTATTCAATAAAGTATACTAAATATATTAAATTGCCGTATCGTACATACATATATACATAAAACCCATTACAAAACACTTTAAATTGGTTTAGACAGTTCGGCAGTTTGACTTTTTTACCATGACAAATAATGTTGCCTTATATTAAAAGTACGATTCCAAGTAGTCGTATTACCACGTAACAAGCATTGGGCATTATTGGGTTTTCTTAAAACCAAAAACTATAATTGGCACTCATACGCAGCCATTTTGGGCATTGTTACATATATAGATGGCAACAACGCGCTAAAATTACGAATAAAAATATTCCACGGCGAAGCGCGGTGTTACTCTCACGAAAACTGAAAGCAGACTGAAGTGAAATTCGCTGCGTCGTTTCTGTATACGTATAAGCGCTGCGACGCAGACGCTACTCGCCCATCATTGTATTAGAGCGTTGCACAGATACATTTGAGTTGCCCAACAAGACATTTGTTAGCAGCGCAATTATCTACTCTCTTTATCTCTCCATTCTCTTGTTGAGTGCGGGCAAACACAAACCGCTTGGAGTATGCGTAAGTAAAAACCCGATCAATAGCAAGAAAAGAAGTACTGGCTTTGCAAACACAATTACCTCGTTTGAAGAATATCCGCAAGCAGTGTACTGTGCTTGCGAGTATTTGAGTATTTTCATAGAGCTGTTGATTGTTGGTGTTTGGGTTATGCTATTTATGTGCTATGCACACATGTAGATACATTTGTATTTACATCAAAGATATTGTTGATGCTTGCCCTTACTACTACGTTATTTGATTAAAAATATACAATATATATGCACATACATATGTACATACATATGTATGTATTTATTTCAGCGAACGCCTTTGCTGCAATAAGGTAATGAATAAAGTTTTGAAAACTAGTCAATGTTAAAGAAATGTGTATAGTTTATTTGTTAAACGAAAATGGGTATAATATTCCAGATTAAATATTTAAGGAAAGAAAATATAAAATTAACAAAAGAATGATTTTCAAAAAAAATAATTATGTATGTATACGCCAACCATTTATTGAAAAGTTTTGCAATGCAAGATTTAAACGTTTTGCAATATTAAATATTCTACAAACTTTCATAAAAATTTCTAGCTTTTTCATTAGATTTGGTTGGATATGCAGCTTACTAGCCCATTCAATTTTAATAGAATAAAGTGCAAGTTTGAAGTAGCACGAACATACAGTTGATATTTTGGAATTTATTGACGGTGTCAGTCATTTCTTCCATACGAAGTATGTTAACACGATTCTTTTTATATGGAGAAAATGACCAACAGCTTCAACAAAAAAAAAATTACCAATATCAACGGTAAGTCTTGCTTTGCAAACTTGCACTTCATTGTACTAAAATTGAATGGGCTACAAAACTGCATACTTAAAACCATTCTAAGTAAACCAATAAAAGAGCTCGATATTTTTACGAAAAATTGTTAATTTTTTCTTAATATAGCTCAAAGTCTCAAGTTTGGATTTATATGATTTTTCTTACAGAATAAACTATATTTTTATAAAAAGTAATTGAAATAAAATAATTTAATATATATTGTACATTTAATTTTTTGTAACATTGGAAGATTGCTACTAAAAATCTTATTAATACTTTTGAAAACAAATTAAACTTTATGAAGTTTTGGAATAACCCGAATAGTTAACATAAATTTCAAAATCGAAAACGTTTCAAAAATATTTTTAGAATTTAATTTAAAAATATACCATTTTATAGAATTCCAGTGACACGCAAGTTTTGGTAATTTACTGTACTAAAAATACGTGAAAGTCAACTAAAATCGCTAATAAAAGCACATAGTATGGAAATATAAAAAGCATTTCATCATATAAAAATGCTAAAATTAAACTATCATGATTTAAAATATTTTTCCCGAGTGGTCAAAAAAATGTACAATATATTGTACATTTACACTGAAAGGTTGTAAGTGTCTTGTACAATATATTGCACAAACGTCCGCAAAAGTTGCAGTTGAACGGGCAATTAGGGTGGTTTTTGCCGTGGTTTTTGAAGGGCTTGTGCGCTGTTGTTGCTGTAAAGGGTAGGTTTTTGGTTTTTTGATCTAACGAAGGCAAAAAAACCGGAAAGGTTTATTAAAACGGGTCATTTGTATTTTATATTGTAATTGTATCTGAAATTTTTCAAAATTTCTTTACATAATTCTCTTCTCATCGAGAAAATTTAAAATTTTTTAATGCAAATTTTAACTAAATATACTTAAAAAGATTGAAAATATTCATTCCAACTTATCTGCAGTAAAATCGGTTACTTTGGCTCTATGAACCTTGTAATTTAAAAAATGTTTATATTCATCAGGAACGGATTTGACCAGAAAGGGATATTTGTCCAATAACACTGTGCACCAGCCGAAATTAGCATTGATTGAAAGTACTTTTTTTCTATACGCTAAATCCAAATTGGGCAATAAAAGATTTCCATCACGTCAGAATTTTGAGAGAATGGGTTTCGAAACCCCAAAAATCATCATTTAAGGCATTTTTGAAAACTTGGTGAAGAGTTTTCAAAGAGAAGCTAATTATATATTTCAATAGACGTGTCAAAAATTACTATTTTTTCGTCCTGGGCTTGACTTTGATGGGATAAAGCAATATTTCGAACATGATTCGCATTTTTAAATACACCTGAAGTGTGTCACTTCTTCGATCATGATTTGTGATTGTGTACGATGCCGTCTACCCAGCCTTTACACCGTACACGTGTTCGAGGTATT